TCTATCAGTTCCTTTTTAATTGAGATATTGGAATATTTTTCAATGCACACTCTTCAGGCAAAAAAATAGTGGTTTGTTTAGACAGAGGTCAGGGGTCCTGCATCCTCCTAGAACAGAAATAAAACTCCTCCTACAAGTTTTAACCAGTGCTCTTCTGGGCACTGGTAGAAGTCATAATACTGCTCTAACTGCCGATGAGAAAATGTATTTAGCAGTTTACATTTACTAAAATAATTGCATTTCCATGTTCTCAGTACTGTGGGAGACCAGATAGAGTGAATGCAGGGTCCTGGATTTAGTAACACTTTACATACCTTAGACCTTTATGTCCAGGCATGCATGTAATATCTGAAATTTGCTACCGTCAGATTTCACATTCTCTAAAATGATGATGTGTCTCATGTTATTGCCTTTCTTTTAACAATGTATTGGATTTTATTCTTGCTGAACCTGTGGTTGAACATCCTCATGCTCCTGTTTAGTTGAAGTAACTACAAGCATGTCATTAGTTATTAGGGGAATGTCTCCAAATGCTTCTGCATTTTATACTGAAATCCATCACTGTCAGATTTGATCCCAAAGGGTATCTGATTGAACTTGTGTCATCCCCAAGGTGTATTAATGTAGACAGTGGTGATGATTGTTCATCTATTTTGACCTGCCTGTAACCACCTTTCTTTTTAGGATTGTGAAAAATTCTTTCAAATCTAGTTTTGCTTGTCAAATGAAAGTGTATTTTAATTGCTATTTTAAAAGAACCTTGGGATCCAGATCTATGGCAAGATTTCTATTTTTAAGGGATCATAAAACTGTTCACCAAAGGTTCTTACAAATACTGCATCTTTCAGCTCTGCAAGTGATAATGTAAACCTGCAGGGTAAATTGACTGTATTTGTTGGAAGTAGATGCCACTAAGTTAGCAGTGTTTCTGTTACATCACTGGAATCCTTGAATCTTTCTTGACAATGTGGGTTTATTTAATAACGCTACATTGTAATGCAAGTGTCTTGGTTACCAGATAGAAAAGGCCTGCCTTGCATTGTTGAAAGTTGCATGACATTACTTGGCTAGTGAGGTGCAGTAAAGGCACAGTGGGCTTGCTTTTTTTTGGCACTAGATGATGTCTATTTGCAACACATAATGTCAGTTTAGCCTGCATATATTCAGTACAGATACACTTTAAATGTTACCATGAAGCTATAGTATAAGGAATCTTCCTGTCAACATGCACTGCTCAAAAAAATTAAAGGAACATTTTGAAAACACATCAGATCTCAATGGAGAAAAATATCATGATGGATATATATACTGATATGGACTGGATAATGTGTTAGGAACGTAAGGATGCCCCATCGTTTGATGGAAATGAAAATTATCAACCGACAGAGGACTGAATTCAAAGACACCCCAAAAATCAAAGTGAATAAATGATGCAACAGGCTATCCCCTTTTGCTGAAAATTCATTGCAGCAACTCAAAATGGTACTCAGTAGTTTGTATGGCCCCCACGTGCTTGTATGCATGCCTGACTATGTCAGGGCATGCTGCTCATGAGATGACAGATGGTGTCCTGGGGGTATTTTCTCCCAGATCTGGACCAGGGCATCACTGAGCTCCTGGACAGTCTGAGGTGCAACCTGGTGTCGACCGAAACATGATATCTCAGAGGTATTCTATTGGATTTAGGTCAGGCGAGCGTGGGGGCCATTCAATGATATCAATTCCTTCATCTTTCAGGAACTGCCTGCATACTCTTGCCACATGAGGCCATGCATTGTCATGCACCAGGAGGAACCCAGGACCCACTGCACCAGCGTAAGGTCTGACGATGGTGTCAAGGATTTCATCCCAATTCCTTATGGCAATCAGGGTGCCATTGTCTAGCCTGTAGAGGTCTGTGCATTTCTCCATGGATATGCCCCCCAGACCATCACTGACCCACCAACAAAACGGTCATGCTGAACGATGTTATAGGCAGCATAATGTTCTCCATGGCTTTTCCAGACCCTTTCATGTCTGTCAGATGTGCTCAGTGTGAACTTGCTTTCATCTGTGAAAAGCACAGGGCACCAGTGGTGGACCTGCCAATTCTGGTGTTCAATGTCAAATGCCAATTGAGCTCTATGGTGCCGGGCAGTGAGCACAGGGCCCACTAAAGGATGTTGGGCCATCAGGCCACTCTCATGAAGTCTGTTTCTGATTGTTTGGTCAGAGACATTCACACCAGTGGCCTGCTGGAAGTCATTTTGTAGGGCTCTAGCAGTGCTCATCCTGTTCCTCCTTGCACAAAGGAGCAGATACTGGTCTTGCTGATGGGTTAAGGACCGTCTACGGCCCTGTCCAGCTCTCCTATAGTAACTGCCTGTCTCCTAGGATCTCCTCCATGCTTTTGAGACTGTGCTGAGAGACACAGCAAACTTTCTGGCATCCTGTAGGAGATGGACTGCCTATGCAACCTCTGTAGGGTCCAGGTACCGCCTCATGCTGCCAGTAGTGACACTGACCATAGCCAAATGCAAAACTAGTGAAAAACAGTAATAAAAAATCAGTAGGGAAAAAATGTCAGTGGTTTCCATCTGTAAAACCATTCCTGTTTTGAAGGTTGTCTCATTGTTGCTCATCTAGTGCACCTAATTTCATGAACACCAAAGCAGCTGGAACTGATTACCAACCTCCTCTGCTACCAGATCAGATCAATATCCTAGGAGTTTAATTGACTTGATGCTATACTCTGATTAAAAAGTGTTCCTTTAAATTTTTGAGCAGTGTATATAAAGTCAGTGTCAGCATATTTTTCTGGAAAACGTTATTTAAAAACAACATTGTAATTTGACATTCAAATACTAGGTGCCGTTGTACCTTCAAAATAAATCTTCTGTAAACCTCTAGCTTTATCAATGTATTAATTCCATTATCTTCCATTTAACCATGGAACATTCTTAACACAACCATATGCAATAACTAGTGATACTAAAAAAAGGAGAATGTAACAGTTCTGCCTTCATTTGCATAAGTCTGGCTGGTGATTTAATACCACGTCTAAAATACAATGATTCTCACTTACTAAATAAAATAAACAAGAGCAGGAACAAACAGCAAAACATGAGCATACAATTGTATAAATGAGTTTGCAACATACAACATGAACACGAGTGACTTAATATGTGCAATCTCGATCCAAGAAACTATATAGCTGATTGCTGATGAGTAATATGCTTTACTAGTATGTTGTGCTATCCAAACACCTATGCTTTTATGCCTTCTGTTCCTAAGATGTGGTCATGTTATTAAACATTTTTTTATTAAATAACCTGTAATAGAAATAAAAAGCATGCCTGGTTTATCAAAACCTCATTCATTCAACATGCAGCCAAAGGCATTTTTAATCACAGCACAAGTGTATATGCAGGAAATGTTACACCATTGTGTTGCTTTCAGACTTGTTTAAAAAAAAGTAAAGCAATCTGTATTTTTTGGATCACAATGCACCACAAATGCATGTAAATTCAGTTCAGTAAATAATAAGTGTATAATACCAAAATACAGAGCAAAGAAACCTTAAATGCACTGCAGACACACCACAAATGCATAACATGGAGAAAAGTACACTGTGGAGATTGCAGTCAATAAAATGTACATTCTATAGCATACCATCCTTGTTAATAAATTCTGTAAATGTTTGCTATAGCCCGTGGGTGAACATTTTCTGCACAACATAAAAGAAAGATATGTTTTGTGGATAGATATTTTGGGGAAGATTTACTTAAACTGGAGCTCTTGGAATTGATAAAACAGGAAGTCCACCGGATGTCATCAGTGATGTGGCAAAATGATGGCCATGCTACTTCTTATTTATTCTTTCAGTTGTTTTCAGCCGGATTGATAAAATGTTATATATATATATATATATATATATATATATATATATATATATATATATAAAAACTATATTTCCAAAGTATTGGGATGCCTGCCTTTACACGCACATGAACTTTAATGGCATCCCAGTCTTAGTCAATAGGGTTCAATATTGATGTGAACATAAAGTAATGAGAAGAGATCAACGCATACAGATTCCCCAATCCTTCATGACAATGGACACTAAACAAAATGGATATTAAATGGATATTAAAGTCCAAATGACATATAAAATAAAATCCAATTGACTTATGCAGTAGGTCCATAAAGCACTAGGGCAAGCTCTTGTAGCTGTAGCAGGCTCTGGGTGAAGATATAAAAAGGAGAAAAGCACCTCCAAGTGCAATATGTTGTACATTTATTGAGGAACATAATGAGAAACACTTACATAATGAAAGAAAACAAAAGGCTTAGGCATGTGTAGTAGAAACGAAGGACATGGTGGACGCCGCTATGTTCTTTGTTTCTACTACACATGCCTAAGCCTTTTGTTTTCTTTCATCATGTGAGTGTTTCTCATTATGTTCCTCAATAAATGTACAACATTTTGCACTTAGAGGCGCTTTTTTCCTTTTTATATCTTCAATATTGATTTGGCCCACCCTTTGCAGTTATAACAGCTTCAACTCTTCTGGGAAGGCTGTCTGAAAGGTTTAGGAGTGTGTCTATGGGAATGTTTGACCATTCTTCCAGAAGCACATTCGTGAGGTTAGGCACTGATGTCAGATGAGAAGGGCCATCTCACAGTCTCCACTCTAATTCATTCCAAAGGTGTTCTATCTGGTTGAGGTCAGGACTCCGTTACTGAAACTGAAAGGCCAAGCCCAACCCCTGAAAAACACACCATAATCCCCCCTCCACCAATCTTTACACTTGGCACAATGCAATCATGCAAGTACCATTCTCCTAGCATCCACCAAACCCAGATACATCTTTTGGATTGCCAGACAGAGAAGCGTGATTTCATTACTCCAGAGAACACGTCTCCACTGCTCTAGAGCCCAGTGGTGGTGTGCTTTACACCACTGCATCCGACGCTTTGCATTGCACTTGATGATGTAAAGCTTGGATGCAGCTGCTCGGCCATGGAAACCCATTCCATGAAGCTCTCTATGCACTATTATTGTGCTAATCTGAAGTTTGGAGGTCTTTAGCCATTGACTCTGCAGACAGTTGGCGACTTCTGCGCACTGTGCACTTCAGCATGCCCTGATCCCGCTCTGTCATTTTACGTGGCCTACCACTTTGTGGCTGAGTTGCTCTTGTTCCCAGTTGCTTCTGCTTTGTTATAATACCACTAACAGTTGACCATGGAATATTTAGTAGCAAGGAAATTTCACGGATGGACTTATTGCACAGGTGGCAACCTATCATGGCATCAAGCTTAAATTCACTGAGCTCCTGAGAGAGATTCTTACACAAATGTTTGTAGTCTGCATGCCTAGGTGCTTTATTTTATACACCTGTGGCCATGGAGGTGATTGAAACACCTGAATCCAATGATTTGGAGGAGTGTCCCAATACTTTTGGCAATGTAGTGTATATCCACTATATGCCAGAGGCCCTTTTTTATCCCCTGAAGATGCCCATTGCATCGGACAAAATGCACGTAGGCATGTGGCATATGATTTTGTACACCTGCTGTTGATCCCAGGAGTGGTGCATTTTGCCTGTGTTACTCTAACCTTTGTGAGTATATCTACTTTTAATAAGCCATGTGAGTTTAGCATACTACTCTACGGTCCTTTGTTCTTCCTCTTACTCATTATTGCTTTGAGGTGTTGGCTTTGGATAATCAGTGAATGACTGTGGCCCCCTAATTGGATTATTTCTGTGCTGTTGATCTCTTATCATTTTGAGATCATCACTGTTTAGTAAGAGAACTGGCACACTTGTCTGTGAGATGATTTGGTATTTTTACTCATGGACTTTAATCATTTTCTAGATTTCACATTTGGACTCCAATATATTCATCTTTGAAGTTTACTTCTTTGTTATGCATAAAATGTATGTTATATGACTGTTATTTTACCATTTATTTGATGAGCATTGTTTATTACTGTTTAATATGAGTTAATTTTATTTTTTTCACACACATATTTTTGTACTGATTACCACACCTACCATTCTTTATCCTGAAGATCATGAACACATTTTCAGTGACTGCTATTATTTCCCTTTTTGGACATCATCCTGACCCTGACATAAACCTAAACTCTGTATCCTTCCTTGATACCTCACTTGTACACCTCCAAAGGAATAGAAATGAGACTTTCAGAGATTTAAAGGGTAATGTCAGGGCTCCCAGGTATGACCAGAGGTGTGTGACTGAAGCAGGGAAACGCAGACTTCAGATATGTGATTAACAATGTAATTTATTAACACTAACAATACAAACATAAACGCAGTGCAATACTAAACATAATACAGTGCAAACAAACCCAACCAACCACCCACAGATAACTACATACAAGCAAGCGTCGTCAGGCAGGCCGAGTCAATATCAATTGGGCAGGTAGGTACAGGGGGAGCAAGCGGAGAATGGTCGGGGTCACAGGCCAGGTTCAGCAGGTAGCAAGCAGCGTAGTACAGAGGGTCAGGCAGAGGGATGGTCAGGGTCACAAGCCAGGGATCAGAACAGGTAGCAAAGGAACAGAAACAGGATGCAGGACAGATACAGGGCCCAGGACAAACACAACACCAAGGCAGAGTCTGCAAGTCTGGCCATCCCTTAAATACACCAGTATCATCAGTTCCAGGTGTTAGCTGGCTGAAAGGTTGAGTCTCTGATTGCTGGGAGCACCCGCTGGCCAGCCCTGGTACTGCAGATCAAAAGGCAGGTGAGTCCCACCATTGCTGGCCAGTCCATTCCTGACAGTACCCCCCCCCCCTCAAGGAGCAGCCTCAGGACGCTCCAAACAGTCCTAGCTGGGAAAAATGTTCCACCGCCCGGGTCTGGTAACTGGCGGGATATCAAAGACTGGCACACACCGGGCAGGACTCCGGGCAGCGGTACACCGGGCAGAGGCACATCGGGCTGGACTCCGGGCAGAGGCACACCGGGCAGAGCCACACCGGGCAGAGGCACATCGGGCTGGACTCCGGGCAGAGGCACATCGGGCTGGACTCCGGGCAGAGGCACATCGGGCTGGACTCCGGGCAGAGGCACATCGGGCTGGACTCCGGGCAGAGGCACATCGGGCTGGACTCCGGGCAGAGGCACATCGGGCTGGACTCCGGGCAGAGGCACACCGGGCAGAGGCACATCGGGCTGGACTCCGGGCAGAGGCACATCGGGCAGGACTCCGGGCAGAGGCACATCGGGCAGGACCCCGGGCAGAGGCACATCGGGCTACCAGGCGAAGCGGCAGGCAGCGGGCCACCGGGCGGAGCGGCAGGCACCGGGTCACCAGGTATGACAGCGGGCACTGGGTCACCAGGCATCAGGTCATTTGGCTCACCAGCGGGCACCGCGCATCTGGCAAGGCAGTGGGCACCGAGTCACCAGGTACGACAGCGGGCTCTGAGTCAATTGGCACGACAGCGGGCACCGGATCAGGTACCGGATCATCTGGATCAACAGCGGGCATCGAGTCAACTGGCCTAATAGGATCGTCAGGCTGGATCAGTTCATCATGCTGGGTAGAGGCATCAGGCTGAATGCCGGCGTCCGGCTGAGTAGAGGCTTCAGGCCGAGTAGAGGCATCAGGCCGAGTAGAGGCATCAGGCCGAGTAGAGGCTTCAGGCCGAGTAGAGGCTTCAGGCCGAGTAGAGGCTTCAGGCCGAGTAGAGGCATCAGGCCGAGAGTAGAGGCTTCAGGCCGAGTAGAGGCTTCAGGCCGAGTAGAGGCTTCAGGCCGAGTAGAGGCATCAGGCTGAAGAGAGGCATCAGGCTGAAGAGAGGCATCAGGCTGCGTACCGGCATCAGGCTGAAGAGAGGCATCAGGCTGCGTACAGGCATCAGGCCGAGTACAGGCATCAGGCTGAGTAGAGGCTTCAGGCTGAGTAGAGGCTTCAGGCTGAGTAGAGGCTTCAGGCTGAACCACGGAAGGCAGGCTCACCGGTTTGGATACTGGCAGGATGGTATTGGTTGGAAAGAATTTTCGCTTTTTTCTGGTTTTAACTACTGGAGCACTGCAAGTAAACGCAGGTCTGCAAACGAATGGAGCAGCTGGAGACAGAGAAGAACTGGAGGATGGAACAGGAGAGGGAGCAGTTGCTACAGAGGGCTTTTTTACAGGGTTAAAGGCAGGATAGGTGCAGCGAGTGGGAACAGGGTACTGACATGCGGTAGATAGCCAAGTATACTGGGCTGTAACTGGAGGAGCTGTTGGGAATACAGGAGTAGAGTTAGAAGCAGGACTGGGTTTTTGTAGGCTGACTGAGGCTGGGTGCAACAAGTCTGTCCATGTCTGCAGTATGGGTTGAACAAAGCTGAGCTTACACAAAGCCTGTCTGGTCAATGACTGCACTGCGTTTATACAATCTCTTAGTGTCTGTGGTGAACATGTGGAATAACGCTCCAGAAAGTAACCCACATCATCCTCTAATAACCACACCAGGGACTCTACCTGGTCTGCACTAAATGGTGGCAAAAATTCATCCCTGCATTCAGGGGAACCAGATGAAACCAACTCTGCACAAACCTCAATCAAAGGCTGCACCTCAGAGAACTCTGTGCCCTGATCTACTAGAACATGAGCGAGCCGTATACATTCTAGCAGTTCATCCCGGGTATACTCCTTCAGAGTTTGATAAGCATACTCCCTGTCATCAAACACTAGCAGATATAAATACGCAACCTCATCCAGATCCATCCTTCCCATCAACAAGCCAAGATGGCTTCCCTGTGCAGCCACTTCTGGTCAGGATTGGCCTTGGTGTAATGTCAGGGCTCCCAGGTATGACCAGAGGTGTGTGACTGAAGCAGGGAAACGCAGACTTCAGATATGTGATTAACAATGTAATTTATTAACACTAACAATACAAACATAAACGCAGTGCAATACTAAACATAATACAGTGCAAACAAACCCAACCAACCACCCACAGATAACAGTACATACAAGCAAGCGTCGTCAGGCAGGCCGAGTCAATATCAATTGGGCAGGTAGGTACAGGGGGAGCAAGCGGAGAATGGTCGGGGTCACAGGCCAGGTTCAGCAGGTAGCAAGCAGCGTAGTACAGAGGGATGGTCAGGGCAGGGATCAGAACAGGTAGCAAGCAGCGTAGTACAGAGGGTCAGGCAGAGGGATGGTCAGGGTCACAAGCCAGGGATCAGAACAGGTAGCAAAGGAACAGAAACAGGATGCAGGACAGATACAGGGCCCAGGACAAACACAACACCAAGGCAGAGTCTGCAAGTCTGGCCATCCCTTAAATACACCAGTATCATCAGTTCCAGGTGTTAGCTGGCTGAAAGGTTGAGTCTCTGATTGCTGGGAGCACCCGCTGGCCAGCCCTGGTACTGCAGATCAAAAGGCAGGTGAGTCCCACCATTGCTGGCCAGTCCATTCCTGACAGGTAAATTCACCTCTGAGAACATGATACATGTTCCACCCATTTTTAGGATGGAACATGCACCATGCTCCTCATCCCTGCACTCCCTATGACAGCAGTAGGGGGAGAAATTCCCTGTACTAGCTGTCAGTTTTTTAAAAAACAGTGCGGCCGTGCGGGGCTCCACCCACACAGCTTCATCATTCATTCACAGTGGAGCCTGTCAGACTGTATCTGCTTGCCCATATGGGATGTACGATACACTGACAGGTTTGCATGGCACCAGCTCAAAAAACATTTGTATTTAATTATTTTTTTTAATGTGAACTTATTCTTTAAGGCTATGAAGTCTCAGCAGGGCTAATTAGTCAATCACTGAAGCTCTTTTTACGTTGCATATTTTCAACAGCTATTGAAAGTACTTCTAATGTGAGCTTGTATTCCACAAGTTGTGTCATTTACTAAAAGGAACATTTTTGCCTCCCTTTTCATCCCCTAATGCATCCAATCTCTCTAAATCTGGCATTTCTGACTATTCAAAATAAAATTACATTTTAAAAACTTGTATCTAGAATTCACATATTTTCCAACTATTTTAATTGTAAAATAAGTGAATCTTGATTTGAATCTATGTGAATGTTGTGTGAAAACAGTTTTTTAAATAGACCAAAAAGAGCCAAGAGTGCTGGCAGGGGACCCTTGAAGAGGATGATTGGGGGTGCTCTGTGCAAATCCATTGCACAAAGCAGGTAAGTATAATATGTTTGTCCAACCTCTAAAAAGTAGTGACACTTATTTCACAAAGCTAGTACAAAGGAAAAATATTGGTGGGACAAAGCACCACTGTGTTTTGTAGAGGTTTGAATGTTATATTATACACGATGGTGCTATGGTTTAAATAACAGTATTTAAAAAATCACAAAGAATTCAAGAACCTGTGACAAATTAAAATTCACATGGACCATGTGACTTTTCATTCCTAATTAGTTGAGCTAAGCATAAAATAAAAATCCGATCTGTCCTCAGTCTAAAAATTAAGTATTTTAATTGCTTGCAAATTTATCCCTGTCAATGAAATGCAAACATTTCAGGACAAAAAATGTTACAGACAATTTAAAATTTAACGTATCCATGCTCAGTCCATTAAAATTATATCTAAATGTAATAGTTGCATTGCTGTACAGACATAAACAGGAGAAGTGAGATAGGGGGGCAGGAAATGCTGTCTACAATACACACCTGCAAGTACTTTATGAACACTCAGAGGCATGCTAAGGAACAGACAGGAGCAAAACATAAACTCCAGCTTCCACCCCAATTTCTCCCCTCTCCTACTTGTTTGTACCGTAGTGTGAGCTTATATTTGATTGTGATTTCAATGGACTAAGCAATGATTTTTTGATTGTTAAGAAGATGTGTTTGACTAAATAAAATAAGATGGATATTTGCTGGAACAAAGCACTGTGCCCGATAATTTTTATATACAGATTATACCTTCTGTTTTGCATTGGTTAAAGTGATTGTAAACCTTTATTTTTTATTTTTTTAAATAAAAAACATGTTATACTTACCTGCCACCATAGGCACATCATTGTGGCACACCTGTATGCTCACTCCCAAGCTGGATCTGAGTGTCTATAAGACACACTGAGCATGGATTGGCCCCACTCCCTCCTCACTTCCTCACTGGCTTTGAATAACAGCAGCCAATGGCTCCCTCTGCTGTGTCTGAGCCAATGAGGAGGAAGAGAGCAGAGAGCACATTGCTGGATCGAGCATAGAATGCATGAAGGTAAAACTCTCTGCCGTTACAACCAATTTTAGTAATGGAATCTTTGAAGTATTATTAGGTGTTCAGCTAAAGCTGCAAGTTCCCTTTCAGCCAGATTTTCCAAAATCATCCTATGCTATTCCATTTCTTCTAAATAGCAATGCGCTCAGGTGTGTTTGAATATGAGTCTGAACCCACCAGAACTATCCCACCAGGAAGCTGTCACTGCAGACAGCCAATCATAAGCAGCATAGGCATTTACGCGCTTTAGTCTTGTATATTTGCAGCTACGGGGCCTTTGTTGCCTATGATTGGCTGTCTGCAGTGACAGCTTCCTGGTGGGATAGCACAGGAGGGATTGGACTTGTGTCCGTACATGTCTGAGCTCATTCCTACGTATATAGTACATACCAGCACTCCTACTGTTTTAAATGCACCTCCACCCATTACACATGCAGCTGTAGGGGGGCTTCTTCATAAAAACATCTGCCATCTTCAGGATGAGCTGGACATTACAATTGTGTCCCCTCTAGCAGTGGTTCCAGGCTATTCAAACTGTATATATGTGCAGTGCACCCTCTCATTCTCTAGCTGAAGTCAGCTAGGGGATGAATGATTGTAATGTGCATCCTCTCCTGGAAACTGCAGGATGGAGGAGGATTGAGGGGCCACTGGTTTTTGTGGAGATGTCCCCTTATCTGTATGTGTAATGGGAGGAGGTGCAGCATTTAAAGAGGTCCTAAAACTTTAAGGATTTTACCTTAATGCATTCTATGCATTAACCACTTCCCGTCTGGCCGCTGTATATAAACGGCCGGACGGTGGCAGTGCAGGGGCGGGTTGCCGTTCATAAACGGCACCCGCCATTTTGGATTGCTCCCTGGGAGCACGTGGCACCGCGATCCGGTGCCCGCTGTGTTAGGTCCCGATCATGTGACATGAATAGGTGTAAGCAAGATGTCACTTCTGACATCATTGCTTACTACGTGTGAAATCTGTGAATGATCACAGAGATCAAATGGTACAAGGCTAATCACAACAGCCTTGTACCATGTGACAAACTGTGACTAATCACAGCTCACACAGTATTTCTCAATGGCTGCAAAAATGCAGCCAGAGAGAAAGAGAAATTATTGCTTTTACAGCCTTTATGGGTGTAACAGCAATCAGTGTGGTGACACTGTACTGCTAGGGTGACAGTATGTTAAAAAAAAAAAACAACATAAATAAGAATATCATAAATAAAAGCAGTGCTATAATTCCATGTAAATATTGATATGAAAGGTATATGGTATGGAAAAACACAAAAATGCGCTGTGAAGCACTAAAATTCATTAATGTGAGAGAACGTCTTATTATTGACATTTAAAGTGCAAAAGTGACAAATA